AAAGCATTGGCATTGGCCTAGGAAGGCTAAACAGTTGTCTTTTTGAAGGATTTTTTTTTTCTGCTGGTTCTTTGGGTTTTGATTGATTTGATATTTTTAAGCTCTCTGGTTGAGTGTGTTGTCTTTGTTTTTGAGATCTACTGTATGTGTTGATAACAAGCTATTTTCATTGTACTGTGCATTTTCCCATTAAATTGTTTGCTTTTAATATTCATACAATGTTAAATATGAGGTGACCGTACAGTAGTTAGGAGTTTCTTTACTTACAAAATCACTGGAAATGATTAAATTGCTTTTCCCCTTCCCCCAAGGTGCATTTTCTTATTTCCATATAGTAAAGTTGAGCTTTTACAGTGCATAATGTGACATTTGGAATGCTTATCAACTGCATGTAAACATTAATAACCTGCACTTTTTTGTCTTAAGGTTTGTTGAGCTGTTTTGTTCACTGTATTTTAACTGTGATATGGAAAAGACTGCATTCTCTGTGCTGTTACTAATTAGGAAAGAGAATTGCTTTGATTTTGTCTCTTGTTTACTATAGCTTCTTAAAGTTAAGCCTTGTACTACAGGTTGTTGGAGTACTCCTAGATCAGTGTTTCATAGTAGCCAGCAATAAGTAGTGCAAGTCAACAAAAACACAGCAAACTTAGGCAAAGTGTCCTTTCTTTGAGATGTGAGTTCTTTCATGAGGTTTTCTTTAGGGTCAGAGTTACCCAAAGTGAAGCCTTTCTTACCTATAGACTTCAGATTCTGCTTGGAATCCTACCGGATCAAGAAGCACATGTATTGTGCAATTGTCTTCACACTATAACAGTTGAACACAATCTTACTAAGATTTTGAAACCAGTGTCTGGTTTATGGTCAGTGGGTTTAAAAAGAAATCCACATGCAGATCTTTTCAAGATTTAAAAAGTGATCATAGAAAAGACTAAGTGACTGTAAAGATGCTCTTTTTTAAGCATCTCACTTTACCTCCCCAAGCACCCTCTCAAACCTTTCCTTCTCCCCTCTCCTGTTTCATTCATCCTTTCCCTCCCTCCCCGCCCCCCCCCCCCCAGGTGCTCGGTACTTTACCAAGGTTCTATATCTCAGTGTTTTATGTTGGAGTTTTTCCTTGTTTTTATTTTACTAGTTGGTAAACCCTGTTTGTGCTGAAACAAAAAAGGAAATGGTATATTTGACCATATGTGTTATTCATAGAAGACAGTATGATCAAATGTGCCAAAAGCAAGCAAACAAAACTTAATTCCTGACAAGCATGCCTTATATTTATTGATCTGCTTTGTCTTACAATTAAGGTCCAAGAGCTTGGTTAAACTGTATTATTTGCCTAAGTATAAAAGAAAACTTGAAATGCATTGCAATATTGATGTTCTTTAAAATGAGAGACACTGTCAAGTAATTTAATCCAGAGATCAGCCACCAGATTTGAAATGCTTGTGTGTGTGTGTGTGTGTGTGTGTGTGTGTGTGTGTGTGTGTGTGTGTATGTGTGTGTGTTTGAAGTTGTTCGGTTTTTTTCTTTTAAATCACCAAATCCTTTTTTTTTTTAAGCTACTTTTTATTTGTGCCTCCTATTTATCATGCTGGTGTTAGAAGCAGCAGTCATCCAGCCACAGAGGGAGCTAAAGTTAACTAACCAGAACTGTAGAAATCATTATACATGCCTTTGACAACAAAGGAAGTTCTTAAGAAAAGCCATGTCGGCTTTTCCTCTACTAGATACTGATTGGAAGTAGATGAATATTTGCCAAATGGAAAAAAGACAATGCTAGTCAGGAAATACAAACTGTTTTCCAGCTTCTCAAAAGCCATGGAGAGTAGAAACCAAAACCAACAGGGAAATAAAAAACCTTGAAAGTCTCACTTTCTAGTTGTCCCATGCAGGGGTTGAAATTTGACTCAAAGAGGAAAGTATATCAATATTTTTAAGGCCTTCATATCTAGGGTTGGATTACTATTCCAATTTGATTTTTCAGGTAATGGAGAAAGCTGCTAGTAATTTTAACCCCTGCCTAAAGAAAGATAATTTCATTTGGGAGCAAATACTGCCTTGAAAAGTAGTAGCACTGTAATAGCCTATGATAATTAGTCGTAGAATAACCTTTATCCCTTTCAATCTATGCAAATTATTAAATAAATGTAAATTAGGATTCAATTAAAGATAGTTAATTATATTGCAATCAGATGGCATTCACAAACTTAACTGGAGCATATACAAATAAAATTATTAGTCTAAGAGTTTTGTATGCTAACAGAAAAATATAATTTAGCTACCTATTCTAAAAATGGTGAATATTATTAATATTGTATAATAGGACTGGGAAGACTGCCTCCTTTTTTGAAGAGAAAGATTAAGGATTTTTATAATTGTTTTTCATCAAATTTTAATATTTTTGTCAAAGTTTTAGGTATTTAATTTGTAAAACAGTTTGCTTTGTACTGGCATACAGAAAATAGGGTATTGATTTTAAACTTTTTGAAGCCAAGTGATCAAGTACATTTGTAATAAAAGTCAATGGATCTATATCAGTTGTACTCACTGTTTTCATTTCTTATTAATATAGGGATGCTGTACTTTTTCTGCAGGAAAACTGAACTAAATTTGGGTGGAAGGGAGGGGAAAAGATAAATCTGTTGATAATGAGAATCTGGTGGGTTTCATGGCCCAAGCATAATACATCTTTAAGTCAGTTAAGATTTGGTATAGTTAAAAAGATGCTATGTCAACTTTTTTCTTCCTATTTTCTTATGGAACTTGATGTTGGGGAGGGTTATCTCATTCATTTTTGTCTCTGTATTTTAACATTTTACGTTTTGGCCCTGTTAAAAATTTCTAAACTAACGTTTTTCTTTTATGACGTTGTGGATTATCTGGCAGCCCTGATGACCCCACCATGGGCATGATTATTTTTATCTCCCACACATGGTCCACTCTTCTACAATATTCCCACTCATTTTTTTTCATGCTTTATACACACACATTTCCAGATGATTTTAGAATGGGGCTTTCTGAAACTGTTACTCTAGTGGCTTTTATAGCTCCACAATTCATTTTACTTTACATATGAAGATACTTTTAAGATTTTCTTCCCCATAAAAAGTGAGATACCAAGTCTAATGACTTTTTTCCTTTTTCAAAATCTTTTGAATATCAGAATGAGATCTTGCTTTCTATATAAAAGGATGCTAAAACAAGGGCATCTTTAGCAACTTAGGTTTGGAACGTTGGTGATAACTCTGAGTATAACATTTATAGTTGATTATCCCTAAATTTGAATATCTTAATAATTTGCAGATATATATATATATATATATATATATATATATATATATATATTTTTTTTTTTTTTTTTCCTCCTTGAGGATGGAATAAATAGGAGAGGGACTTTATTGGAATTGCTTAAGCTAATAAACCCACCACAGTTATTTGTGCAGAGTTGACTGTTAAAGTGTATCAGTTTTGAGCTCATACATTATAAGATTTTCTGTTTTCTTCAACGCATGTGAACCACATTTAGGCCATTCATAATGAAGTATGCTGTAAAACTAAAGTGATCACTACCGTTAAAATTACTGTTTTCACCTACCAGCATTAATTACTATAGAGTCTAATTTGCAGGATTTTGCAATGTATTTTTAAGAAAAGCTGATTTTAATGTTTAAGTTAGGATCCTAAACAAAACCTAAATTTAAGGCACAGACCATTTGATAGGCTCTTTTTGAACCGGAATGTAGTTGTTAGGGGCTAAGAAAAGATAATCTAAACTAGCATTAGCATGAATCAGATAGGATTTCATGGTGCAAGAACAACTAGATAAAGAGTGAAAAGTATGATTGGTTCCAAGCCAACAGTTTATAAACTACCAGGTTTTGATGTTGTATGGTCTAGGCAATTTATATCTTTAGAAAAGTTGAGTATGGCAAAGGTCACAAGTTAACATTTTTCTTAACAAGAATTTCATAGCTACTCATTCATTTTTATTTTGTCCCCATGTTATGTTTTTTTCCTGATGTCCTTTGCTTTTGTGGAAAATTGTCCTTTTGATGGTTAGAAACATGGTGGTGATCCTCTATGTAAAATGAAGTTGCTTCTTACAGATCAGAAATATTTTACTCCTTTTGGAATCACAAGATTTTTGCGTTTTTTGACTATATACTTTGTTTTGATGATTACTAGTAATTTGCTTATTAATGAAATTTTGTAGCATTTCATGGAAAAAATTTTAAACTAAAGAGTTTAATTTTCTTGATTTAAGTTCCACTTTAATAAGTCAAGAGGCCTCCAAGTTTAAGGACCAAGTCCTTATGTTCTAAAATGGTGAAAAATGTGGAAATACTCTTGTTAGTATCTGTTTTGGTGTAGGATAGATTAACACAGAAGGCTCCTTGGAGGATTTAAGAAAAGTCCTTATCGGGACGTGGCAGTTGAAGTTATGGGACTTCAACCTTAACTAGCTCAAACAGTGATGGCCATCAGCTAATGACTTTAATATTAGACACATATTGAGGTTGGGTCAAACTCCCATTCAGCTGGTGTGGATTGACAGTTTCCAGTACAGGTAGTTGTTGGTGGTACTTGACCTACCTACCTCCTTAATATACATTGGGCATCTTCTCTCTTCTCCTTTTTCCTTCTTTTTCTGTCCCTTTTAAGTTCTTGCCACAGGCCTGCCAGTAACACTCAAGTTTACCCCTTCAGAGAGAAGTAAAGAAATTGCTGACTCTTGCCTTAGAACATAGCTAACTGATGATCCAGAAAGATTTCTATATTATGAGGTAATCGGGAAGTGTTTTCCGACTGCAGTTTTCCACCATAGTCTTAAGTAGGCAGTTTGAAGGACATCTAAATTAATGTTTGTTAAGAAATTTGTGAATTGAAGAGAGTAAGAAGTATGTGTATTTTAGGTAAGTTACTGGGAATTCAGACTTATTGGTTTGGAAATTTGAGAGTAGAAAGGAGAGAGCTGTTTAATGTATTTGTGAATGGGGGTGTGAAAGGTATATAATAGTCTGGAGGTAAAGTGGAAGGAATTTTTACTGGAGGTAGGAAAAGGTATTAAGATGGAATCTAAATGAGAGTTGTTTGTTAAGGACAATGAAGTTGATCTCCACTAAGGAACTTTCAATAATGCCAGAGGAAGTGGGTCCCTCACTGGTTATGAGAAAACTTTTACTCCAGCCAAGAGTTATGATGATACATTATACAAATCTGTCTTCTGTGTAGGATATTTGCTTTTCTGGGACAAATTAAGTAGCACAGTTGTGGGGTGGCAGACTTTCTAGTCAAGGCAAGTTGGTGCTGGAGCCTTATTTTGAGAAAAAGAAAAGAAAATTTCAAACTTTTCAGTTATCCTTTTTAAACTATCAGAAATATTTATCATGCATACTGTCGATTTTCTTGGGCTCATGTTGCAACGTAGTTTACCTTTAGCTTTCAAAATAGTCCTTAGATTGGCAGTCCACAAAGACTCATATTATTCCTTGCTTTTATATAACTTTGAGACTTTTGTCCACATAATTTTCTTAGAAAACAATAAATCAGGTAAAAACACCAAATTACAGTTTGGGGTTGCTTTTCTCTTTCTTTTACATTTGCAATCCTGGCACCTATTTAACTTTGTGGACGTTACGAAGCCCTCAATAATGCTATATTTCTGAAATTAGACAACATGCCCCCCAAAATCACATTTCTGTTTGTTTTCCCACTTAACTTTTACTTTAAAATTGTAGCATTCCCAAGAGTCTGTGGTGGCAGATGTTAATAATATGATTTGGTACATCTTGGAGGCTTTTATTTCCTTTATAGGATGAGCTTACAATGTTTAGATTTCTGTTCTCATTATCTCAATGATGTTTTAAATTATTTACACTAAATAATTGTTATAGTATTTGTTTTTAAAGTTACATAAGTATATTTGGATTCAAGTGTATTTGGATTAGCTCTTTGTTGTCAAATTTTGTATGGATTTATTCCTGATGATTTTGACAGATTACTTTCGAATTTCATTTCACTCACTTCACATCTCTATATGTTAGTGATAAAAATCTCTTTAAAAATAGCTTTAAAAAAAGAGGTTCTGATTTGTACTTGGAAGGTAATTTTTCTTTCTTAATGTCAAGTTCATTAACAATAGGATTATTTTCATTATAGATTATCTTTTAGAGTTGGAATTTAGTATAATTTTCGCATTTTATTGTGTCAGATTTTAAATTATAATACAGTTACATGCTATAACTTGTTTAAGTCAGTGCAGAGCCTTCTTAAATAGCCCCTCCCTTAGAAATCATTTAATAAGTGAATCCCCAAACCTGTGTCAAGAACTAGTGATTTAAATGACTGTGAGACAAGTCTTTGAAAGGCTTCCTTAATTAAGTCTAGTCAGTGGAGATAAATAATAGCCCGTTTCCATGCTGCATTCAGTTGTTAGGGTTTATAAAGTTGTCAATATGTAAAAGTGCAAAAGCAGGAAAAAGACTGTATAAAGTTAACTGTACAATTTCTAGTTTTCATTATTTGCACTATTTATCTTTGCACTTGATTTTTTGAAAGTTAAGACTAGTCACTTTCACTTTTGTTTCTAGTCTTTTCTAATTTCTTGCAGAATTATGTTTTCAATATCCCACCCAAAGCAAAACTTATATGCAATTAAATATGCTTTTTAAGGCCAATAAAATATTTCTTAGTGTTAGCTGTATAAAACAAAAATTTGTTTTGATAAAATTTTTAATATGGATCTTTATTTGCCAATAAAATCCTTTGTAAATGTGAGCTTTATTAAACTGTTTAAATAGACAAAGCTTAGGATAGGAAATATATGTGTGTGTATCTGAAATGATGTCTTTGAGATCCAGCTTCCAGCCTGAGAGGGCCTGGTTTTGGTATGTTGGTCTGTTTTCACTGAAGTCAATGAGATCTGAATCTAGCTGGGTACATGCTTTAAAAGCTGGAAGTGAAATGGCAGGTAGCAACTCCCTCTTTTCATGTAGTTTTCCTTAATGTTCATATAGCTTCCTCATGGTTTATGTGAGATAACTGGTATTGAAATAATTATATAAAATGAATATTCCCTTTTGGAATTGAGGGTTGAATCACTTTTTGAGGGGGAAGGGTAGCAAGGGGTAAGAGACTTTATTTTAACCAGACACAGTCTTATGACCTCAAATATGTGCTCTAGAAAGAAAAGAATAAAAAGTATACCTATGAACATATTTTTTGTCTTAGTGAGATAGTGTAACACAGTGAGTGCTCAGAATTGCAAAAAAAATATTTTTAATTGACAGTTTTATCAATGAAACAGAGGGATGTGTTTTTGACTAAAGTTATTTTTTATAAGTTATTTAATTGTTTCATTTTATATTCCCTTTCTCATAGCTTTTTATGCACTTCATACTTAAAACCAAGTGAGAGCCCTCTTTTCAGATCTGGTTTATTTTTGGAATGCCTCAGTGTGTTTCTGGATGGGGGAGTTGTGTTTTAATTCTTGACATGCTCTTCTCAGCGTGTTTTGCTAGTCCTTCTGGATCTTATTTTGCAAATTCTGTTGAAAATTCAATGATATATTTGAAATGAGAAAGTCCACTATGACATAGTAAGAATGTTTGTGGCAGATTCTATTGTGGAAACTTGTGGCTTTGTTTTTACTTTGGGTAGAAAGTTTAACTTCCATTGTTTGGATTTTATGTTTATCTAGTAGAATTGTGCCAGGTAGTTGTCTAAATATGGACCAATTTTGGGAAATGAAGGTTAATGTGTATTTGACTCCTTTACTCAAAATCATAAGTTAAAGGCTCACATCATTAGAGTTATCTAAGTTTTATGTTGTCAAGTCTTTAAATGTGGATGATGTTCAGCATTATATCTATGAATTTCCTTTAGGAAAAGAGAAAATTTTAATCTCCAAACCTTTTATTGGAGACTAAATTTACCACATATGGAAAATGAAAACATTTTAGAAAGTGGTTTTGACTATTTTTTAATGGGGTTTAACCAGCTGAATTAGTTACTTTTCCTAGTTTGAAGTACTTCTTTCTCAAATGTGAATAAAAGAAAAGATCAGCAATTTGACCCTTTTTTGAGCCCATTTTTTGTCTTCTTCCCCCATTTCCCAATCCTGGTATAAAATGAATTACGGGTATCCCTCTAAGTTCCTGTAACCCTTTTTGGGGGGTTACAGATAACTTTGATAATCTGATGAAAGTGTGATGGACCCTATTCCCTAAGGGAAAAATGCACATAATTTTGCATACAACCTCAGGGACGTCACACATCTTTTGAAACCCAAGTTAAGGATCTCTGCTCTAAGTAAACTTTGTTGAGACTATTTTAATGCAAATCGTTATTAAAATTAGAAACTATTGGCTTAAAACATTTCAGATTGGAATTATTGTTAGATGGTGGCCCCTACTAGTACAATGTGACATTGCAACCAGCTTTGACATATAACATCCAGAGAGAAGGAAAAAAGTAGCAAAGTTCTGAGAGCTATTTATAAGGAGTCAGGGCATCTCTAGACATGGAAGCCATTCCTGGTTCAAGGCAGGGGTCAGGGTGCCTGACACTTCTAGCAGGGTAGAGTTTGATAAACTACAATGCTCAGGATGCCAAGGGGTTAGTCATTACCTTAACCCCTTACTCACCAAAAGATTTTAGTTTTGTCTATTGGGAAACAAGATGTCACTAGAGAAAAAAAGATTTGCCTTATGACTTTGCTGGAACACATCAGTTTGGTGACGTTGGGACACTAGTGTTATTTTTGAGAAGGTGCATAAAACCAAAGTAAATTATTATCTATGTAGAACATTATTTACTAGTAATATTTGTTTGGGTGTATTAGCTTTGACAATTTTTACCAGTAAATATTGGTTTTATTTAAAACTGGGAATCCAGTTTTTATATATGATAGTTGATATATCTATTCTTTTCCCCCATGTAAAGAATAGTTTAAAGATTTATGCATACTTTTTACTTTTCTCTCTTAATGCCATGGGGTGGGGTGGGTAGGTGGGGGGAAGATCTTTGAGTCAACAACTGACAAAATGTCTTGTTCAAATTTAAAAATTGAGAAGCAGCACTTTAAGTCTAACTCTACACAATTTTACTGCATGTATTAGTTTTAATAATGATTTTTGGTGCATGCCTTTGGGCTTATTCAAAAGTGTACAATAGGAAAGTATATTTCCTTTCTTAGAAAGGAGATGTTTTTCTACTTTGCAACATGTGATTACAAAAATCTTCCTCTGTGGGAAGATTGACCATGTATTGAACTACTGAAAAGTATATATTTTTAGATATACAGAAGGAATCTACATGGAGCAGCATTCAGACCTATATAGAAGTCATAGCATTCTGTATAGGACCAAAAAGGAAGTAACATAAAACACTTAAACAGACTTTGTTGGGTAGAAATACCTTTAGATCTTGCATTGACTTCAAAAAAAAAAAAAATGCCACAGAAGTTTGCTGAAAACTTTTGTTGTTTGAATTTTCTCTGTCAGTGTATTTAGCCCAAATACAACAGCTTTGGGTTAGCACATACGTAAGAATCAAAAAAACAAAGCTAACTAAATAGATCAGTCTGGTTTGCCAATCCGGCTTGACTGAAATAAGTAAACTAATCACTTGCAACATGAAAAACTGTCCAACTCCTCTAAGGTTTTGACAAAATAACCTTGGCTGATGTGGGAAGACTCCCACTTTGATTTCTGACCTGACAGTGAAGATTCATGCTTGACATGATTTCAAACCTGACAGTGTCTGTTTAAGGAGCTATGGTACAGTTTGCTAATTCAATCCCAGATACCTGTTGATTACCTGTGAGATCTAGAGTCCAAAGTAGCCAGCAGTCGTATCCCTGAGTGCTCTGTGCCCATCAGATATCTTAAAGTAAGCAGGGTTGGGACAGGTCACAACTCGGATGATTGACCTCAGGTGCTGTAGACAGCCCCAGATTCAAGAATTGTATCTGCTTCCTTGGGAGTCGTCACTGAACTAATGTCCCACCCTGTGTTACTTACTGTAGATGCTCTCTCTTAGAGGAGGCCCAGAGCACACATCCTAATCGCTTGTGGTACTCAGAGAGGGGGTGCTAACTCTGATGCCCTGGCCAAATTCCAGTTTAGGGATGTGGGTCTTCTTGTCATTCTGATTGGAAATGTGCATTACTTCCCATTTTTCCTATTGATCTCAGTGCAAACTACACTAGTCTGTTTCTTTGCCCTGTCCCAAATCTCTAAGATGCTGGTGTGTATTACATGGGCCAAGTTCATGCCTTATCCTAATCGAATGCACAAGAGTTGAGGAATGGGTGAGCTTGGTGTCAGAGTGCCCTGCAGTTGGAGGGTAGACTCTTGTGATGCTGTGGGGATGAAATCGGCCCCTTTTAGCATAAGTTGGGAATGTGCACTGGCCGGAGGCTTCCAGCCATGAGGTGTGAGCTGAAACCAATTTCTCTTCTTTTCTTACAGCATGTTGAGAAAATCTGTTGGGTTTTCAGCAGTCAGGGAAGGCCGGAGTTCTGCTTTAATCTGGGTAACTGAGGCTGGTTTGAGCAAGACTTTGGTTAATTAACTGGGTTCTCAGATGCCACAGACTCCGTGAGAAGTCACCATTATTTTCAATGGTTGTGATAGAATTTTCCCCCTAGTAGCCATTATTTTAAGATTATATTGCAGAGTTGCTTTATTTTGAGCTTTTTGTGTATACACAATCCCAAACTGGAAGAAATTTAAAAAAAAAAAAAAAAAAAAAAAAAAGGAATCCTGCTGTGAAAGGTATATATTGCTCTAGATTTTTCTTACTGTAAATATTGTAAGATTGTAATACTGTTGATATTTTATTAACCAACAAATGTTAATCTATGTGAATTCAGACTTATTTTAAATGTGCTTCTTATTTACTGTGTGTGGTCCCTGTTGCTGACAGTATTAAGTTATATTCTGATGTAAGATTAACTTTATTAAAGAATGTAAACATTAATGTTTCCTTATGGGAAAACAAATAAAGTATAAAGAAGACAATTCTTTTCATTGAAATATACTGTGTATTTACACTTGCTAGACCCAGCACCACTTACAAATTTAGTACACTGTTCAGAATTTTAGTTAACACAGCTGACATGGTTGTGCTCTGTTTGAAAGTCTAAGAGTAGGTATTGTTGGAATATACAGTTTGTATTTGTCTGCTGTGAATCATAATCCTGAAATTTCTAATCAAGTTTGTAAAATTTTTATAGTAAAACATTTTAATGACAATTTAAAAAATTTATCTTCTCTTTAAAAATGGTCAAAACTCTATCCTTTCAGAAATAGAATTGTTCTTTAATATCTTTCCAAAATGACTTTGGTTAAATGGACCAGATGTATATTAGTTAAAATTTAGGACTAAGTTGTTGATATTCTTTGAGTTTACAAGTTAATCCTTATTGGAGATGTGCCAATATACAGTAGAATATCATTAATTTGCACTGTTTGGGGACCCCATTTAAGAATGCTGAATTTTGCCAACTAAGAAGTATGCAAATGCAATTTAAAAAGTAAATTTGAGCATTCTGTATTAAATATGTGCAGTTATTATCACATGAAGAAGCGCAGTGTGTCGGGCTGTAATATAACCATATTTGCTGTCATGTTCTCCCATCTCAGTGCTGGGAACTCACCATGTGGAAACCAAGCAAACGTGTTGTGCATCAGCCGGCTTGAGTTTGTTCAATATCAAAGCTGAAAACTAGCGAGGTCTGCTGTACTGCTTATTGAAGTATTGTGATTCTTTTAGGCATTGATTCTTACAAAATATATACTGTAACAGTATACTTTGTACAGATTTAAATTTTATTTGAAAAAATGAAATAAAGTAGGCAAAAAAATAAAGATGTTTATTTTTCATGTGAATATATAAACAGATCAGTCTTTTGTTTCAATGCTTTTTTGGGGAAGGGGTCTGGTTGCTCTTGGATTTTTTTTTTTTTTTTTTGATAGATAGATGGAAACCATTCCTAGAACCCAGTAGCAGGTAGACTTGCCTGCTACTTATGATCATTAATTACCTGCAAACATTAAATGTGCTCTCTCACACTGGAGAATTCCATTTTCTGTTTCATTTTCAAAGTTTTATTTATTTTTAAAGATTTTATGTGAATGAAGTCCCTATCTGGCTTATTGGGTTTTTTAAATCCTCTGATGGTGTGATGGCTAATCCAGCCATCACATTGAAGAAAAGGAAGAACTTTCCCCATAGATCATCCTCCTTTCTCATGGAAGGCTTTTTGTTTTCTAACATTTTTTAATTGTTTAAATTTTGTACTTTATTATGGATACATACTAGTGTTACATATTTATGGGGTAATTGTGATATTTTGAAACAAGTGTACAATGTATAATGATCAAATCAGGGTAAATGAGGTATGCTTCACCTTAAGCATTTTTCATGTTGTGTTAGGAACATTCCAGTTCTCTCTTAGTTATTTTGAAACATCCAATAAATTATTGTTAACTATAGTCGCCCTGTTGTGCTACCGAATATTTATGAAATAGAGATTGGGTTTTAAGATAAGATCCTTTTCAAGACTCTTTTTCTAGTTAGTGGAATGGCAGATAGCATAGCAAATGAAGTTACCAATAAAAACAATGCCACAGGAGTGATCCTTTAGTATAATTTAAATGGGGCCTTCTCCTAGAAGAGTGGATTATCTGACCAACAAAAATCACACTCGTTTTTACCTCTAACTGAAAACCAGCAAAGGCCTAAGAGGCCTCAGGTATATATTTCCTCAACCTTTGGAAGTGGAATTTGAAGTTTTATTTGTTACTCTCTCCTTTTATTTTATCTTTGTTGATGTTTTTACTTACGCTAAAGCTGGATATGAGGAAGGCTTGGAACAAGAAGTTCTCTAAGGTTCCTGGCAAAAATCACACAATAGAAAATCTTTCAGTGTTATTTAAATGTATATGACAGTGGTTATAGTCTAACAACTGATGCATGGCCATAGGTTATCTCAAGTTCACAGTATTACAGTTCCTGGCTTCCGTAGATGAATCCTAAGAGAGTTTATTTTGATTATAGTTTTGTTGTTTTCTTACTAAAATGGGCCACCTTTGTAGAGTAGGATGGAATGGCTTCCACATCTGACACCCACCAACTCCAATAAAAATAATGCAGAAACTTTCTTTATGAAAACTTAAAGCTGAGAATGCCACTGTTTAGGTGGAGTACCTAAGAAACTCTAGTTTTTAGAACTTCTAGTTTTGCAGTGCCTCTGATTTTAGGGGTACATGAAGACAGATGGGTAATTCCTGAAGAAGAGACCAGATTCTCCTCTCTCCTCATGGTAGAATCACAGAAATAACCTGGGTCCCTGTCTGAGATGTGGGTTCTCAAGCACAGGAGCTTGTGGTGGAAACTCCAGCCATTATTTGCTCCCAGTAATTATAAAAGAGTGAAAAGCCAAGAGCCACACCCTTAATCTTTTGAAGACTCCAAAAGGGACCATGATTAAATATGCCCAGTGATCAGTTTGGAGTGCAAGAGGCCCTATGTTGGGGTCCTACTGCAGGGTTGCAGGATGAATATCCCAGACTTGGAATAAGTTTGAACTGGGGGACAAGGCTGGTTAGGGCCATGGGAGCCCCTCAAGTAAGGGACCCAGCATGCTCAAGCAGAACTGTTTTTTTTTTCTCCTTTTTGAGTTAGAGTTTCCTTCTGTTGCCCAGGTTGGAGTGAAGTAGCACATTCACAGCCACCGCAGCCTCCACCTGCTGGGCTCAGGTGATCCTTCTGCCTCAGCCTTCCAAGTAGCTGGAACTACAGACATGCACCACCACACCCAGCTAATTTTTTATTTACCGTAGAGACGAAATCTCACCAAGTTGTCCAGGCTGGTTTCAAACCCCTGGGCTCAGGCAATCTTCTCGCCTTGGCCTCCCAAAGTGCTGGGATTACAGGCTTGAGTCACTGCACCTGGCCTGTCATTTTTCTTTAGTGCTTTCTAAGGTAGTGTAATTGACAATCTCTTCCTACCTTCACTTCCAATGGATATTATTATAGCTTTAAAAAATTGGGGGGGGGGCAACCCCTTCTGGTCCCCTTCCACTGTGGGAGCTTTTCTGCCCTCTCAATAAATCCTGCTTTATTTTATTTTATTTTTTTTAATTTTTAAGTTTTTTATTTTAAACTTGTGGGGTACAATTCATAGTTAGGTATACAAATATTCATTATGCAGGTACCTTTGTTGATAAGGTGTGCCTTCCCTTCCCCAGGCAGATTCCAACTACTGCCAATCCCACCTCCCTGAACCCCACACCCCAAACCTGCTTTAAAAAAAAAAATTTTTTTTTTGAGATGGTGTCTCTGTGGTCCAGGATGGAGTGCAGGGGCATGATCTTGACTCACTACAGCCTGCAACGCCAGGGCTCAGATGATCCTTCCACCTCAACCTCCTGAATAGCTAGGATTACTGGCAAGCACCACCACTCCCAGCTAATTTTTATTTCATTTTTTTGGTACCATATGTTGTCCAGGCTGGCCTCAAACTCCTGAGCTCAAGCAGTCCTCCTGCCTCGACCTCCTAAAGTGCTGGTAATGCAGGAGTGAGCCACCATACCCAACCATTTATTTTTCCTGAGACAGGATGTGACTCTGTATGCCCAGGCTAGAATGCAGTGGCATGATCACCTCACCACAGCCTCAACCTTCTGGGCTCAAGCAATCTTTCCACCTTTGCCTCTTGAATAGCTGGGACTGTGGGTAGAGACAGGGTCTTGCTATATTGCCCAGGCTGGTCTCAAACTCCTGGGCTCAAGTGATTCTTCCACCCAGGCCTCCCAAAGTGCTGGAATTATAGGTGTGAGCCACTGTACCCTGCCCTCCAATGAATATTAGCTTTTATTTAGCTGTGTGGTATATAATTTATTTTGGCTCTTTTGCATGGTTTTTAGAAATCTCATTGTTCCTAGTTCCAGTAACAGTTTCTTCCTAAGCAGACAGGACTTTTAAAATCTAGAATAATGAGTTTTGGAAGAGGTTCAGGTCTTTCAGGACCAGAGGAAAGAGCTCTCTTTTTCAGTGTTTGACCACTAGCTCACCTGGGGGCCAACACACACCTCCGCTGTTCTTACTTTGGCACCTTCCCCCACACTTCTAGAACCTCAGAAGGAGCCACAGTTTTTTCCCTGAAAATGGGGATTTCACCTTAATATTGCAAATCTCCAGAGTGTTTCCAATGACATCAATCCAATTTTCCAACCAACATTGATTTTCATTCACTTTAATTTGTTCAAATCAGGCCATTTGTCACTTAAGTTGGCAGTGAGAAAAATGTCACAAAACGGACTCATTGAATGTTGCAATGTTTAAAAGAGGAGGATATCCCCACCTTACAGCCAGCAGGCTTGTCCAGTACATCCCACCATCGTAGGCATCCTGGCTCTCCCCGTATGTTCATGTCACACCTCAGACCTTTGTCAGCCTCCTGTAGAAACAAATGTTAGCTCCAACCTAGCTTCACTTTCTCTGGCAGTGTCATTTAGGGTAGGTCTATCCTGCTACCATCCTAATTTTTTCCAAGGTCACCACCTTTTATTTTTTAAACAGTGAGTGCTTAAAATATTCAAGGCACCAAGCTAAGCTTGTTATCTATGTTATTACCCTTCATCCTTGCTACAACTCTATTAAATAGGCGCTATTATCACCCTCATTTTACAGCTGAGGATACTAAAGCAAGAAAGATTAACATGTCTAGGACTCCACAGTCAGAGTTCAAAGTTAAAGTAGACTGATGCCAAAGCACACCTGTGGTCTCAGTCTTTCTAATATGAGTATACTGCCTTCTTTATGAAGTTCTGCCTTCTGATCCCTTAATTTGTAGGGTCTCCCTGACTTTAACATTGCGTCACCTCGGGATGTAATTAGCTGGATGACAAAGCCAGTGTCCCCTGTAGCAAAGAAGGATTCCTCTGCAGAGCTCAAAAGCCACACTTCCTGTTCTGGAGGTTGATTCATGAATGAATTCACATTTTCATTTCCCCCTTCCCTTTCATGAGGGGAATGACTTAACTTGGAATAGGTCTGAAGAAAGCTGGCAAATGATGCTTCCAGATCTCTCTCCACTGCTCTTGCTTAAGGTAAGCAGAGCCCTGAATACTATTCTTACTTCTTCCCACCCTTATCACAATGACCTAATCAAAGTTTTTTTTATGAGTGAGGCTCTTGAATTCTGTTTAGTTGTCAATATCTTTCTCCTCATTCTCAGATTATGTTCCCCAGAAGACACCTATTCTTCCTTAGAGGAGACCTCCTATCTGAGCCCATGTGGCTTCAGCTATAAGTTCAACCAAAGAGTCAGGAGGCAGTCTCTAGCAGAGGATCTACGTCTACCCAAATTACTAAAACCTCACTATTCACTAATAGTTGACCCAGTAATTGGGCCAGCCAGAGCCAGCCATGTCATTTTCAGTCCAGAATTTTACTTGGGATTTTACATTTCTAGAGGCATTTTTCTGCATCCTCCAAAAGGCTATTTCCCAGATGCTTCTTGACCTCCAAGGAGAGGTCTAGAGTCTGTCATTCTCCAGAGGCTTCTTCCAAAAATAAGATCTCAAATTCCTAGGGACTTAGGGGTGGTTTAGAGGGCTGTGGCATCTGTTAGAACTCTTGTCTAAAAGGAAAGATCATAATTTGAACTTGAACCGCTCATCGTTTTTCATATCCTGTAAAGCAGTGGTTCTCAAACTGTGGCCCCTGGACCACTATTAGCATCCCCTTGGCAATTGTTAGAAATACAAATTATTGGGCCCTACTCTAAATCTACTAAATTAGAACCTCTGGGACTGGGGCCCAGCAGTCCCTGCTGTTACAAGCCCTCCAGGTGATTCTGATGTACTATGCTTTAGTGTGA